TTATTTTAGACATAGAGAAATTTTATACAGAAGTATGGCTTTTGAAGTTAGGCTACCTGCATTTTAAGCTCAACAACCTGGCTATTCAGCAAATGGTGAATTAAAACTCCAGTGACCTAATTTCAAAAACCATGGTACTGTCAATGCTTCATGGTTTCCCAACTCTGCTTTAAAGACCTTTCTAAAAAATGAAGCTTTCTGTTCAAGATGGCAGACTAAGTACACATTGTCTCCACTAACTCTTGAGACATCTCTGAAATAATATTATATAAGTACCAAAAACATCCACATAACAGTGAATTGAATAGAATGAGATGGAGGTCATTAGCTGATTGTGTCAGTTATAACTCTATTGCCTTTCTGCTCCAAATCTACACATTGTTGCCCCACTCATGGTACTGAATCATTGCCCCCTTGTCAGCTGGAATGATGTTAAGCTTCATCAGTATAGGGCACTGGAGTGACACTGGAGGAGCAGGCGTATTTCTTCCTGTTCCAGCAGACTCTAGCAGCACAGCACCTCCCTCCACACAGCTTCTCCTGGCACTCCAAAAAACAGTTTCCCAGTGAGTTCCAACAGCATGGCACCTCCGTGTGTTTGGCTTCCACCAGCACCTCCTCCCTGGCTTTGCAGTGAGTTCTGAGACACAGAACCTTCCTGAGATGGCTCCCCCTGGCACCCGAGGAGGGGACTTTCCAGTAATTCTTCCTGACATGGTACCTCAGCAAACTTCTCCACCATGCAGTGAGCCATAGCCATGCTCTCTCCAACCATATCTGGATCAAAGTCCTGGGAGGAAGGGACCCTCTTTCAGATTTCTTCCTTCCTTGGGGGCTCTGTTTCAGCCCTCGGGTAGTGACTGGTCCCTATGTCTTCTGTTCCTGTATAACCTCCAAGGACAAGGTAAGTGTATCCATCATGAAGAGCAATAGGGACATACCAGTAATCAGAATGTCTTGGTTCTCAGAGATCTTTGGCAGGAGCTAATCGATCACAATGTTCATAGAAACAAAAGAGATGGACATCCTATTTTTTTGTTTGTTTCTTCTACATAATTGGAAAAACTCTAGGTTTAGTAGTCAAAAGCCTGACTTGAGTTACCACAGTGGAAAGTCACGACCTCTTACCCAGTTTCCAGATCTAAGTCGATTCATAGATACAGAGCTTCTTGATTGAAGGGGAGGCTGGATCCCCTTGAAGAATAGCTCTGCATAGTTTCCACAAGTGTGTACCATAAATTCTCTTCCTCCAAAGTACTTGTGATCATTTTTTAGGTGAATGTTGGTTAGAGAAGGAAACATTTTAGGAATTACTAGACACTAGCTCTGAATTGATGCTAATTCCTAGGGACCTAAAACACCACTGTGCCTCCTAGGTAAAGTAGGGGCTTATGATGGTCAGGTGATCAATAAGGTCTGAGCTCAAATGTGACTCACAGTGGGTCTAGTTGGTCCATAGACTCACTCTGTTGTTATTTCTCCAGTTCCTAAATGCATAATTGCAATAGATATAATCAGCAACTTGCAGAATCTTCACAGTGGCTCTCTGACCCATATGTTGAGGGCCATTAGAATACATATACGTGATAAGACCCATAAAATTTAAAGATTTAAAGACAAAATTAAAATTTAGAATAATATTTAGGTGTAACCTTAAAGTCGATGAGATATTCTTATATATGGCATGAAACCCAGAGCTCATAAATGAGAAAGATAAATGAAAAAAATAATATATTTAGCTATACAACAATTTAACATTTTTGCACGGCAGAAGACACCATAAACAAAGTCAAAGATAAATGATGGACTTGGAGCAAATACATGAAACATATATAACTGACAATATACAAAGAGCTCCTATAAATTGGTTCCCAAAAAACCCCAAACAGCCTAATAGAATAATGGGAAAAATATGAATAGAAGATTTATAGAAGAATATAATCAAATGATCAATAAACATGAAAAGATAGCTAACCTCTAGTAGTAAAGAAAATTCAAATTTAAACAAACATGGAATAACATTATTAATGTACCCCACAATCTTTACCTTCTCTCCTAAATAAAAAGGAATCTAAAACTGATAGCTTGGTTTCAACATTTTTGCTCCTTTTTCTATGCTCAAAAATATATGTAAAATATGATTACAGATATATACAGTTTTGTTGTTGATGTTTGTTTTTATAAAAATGGTATACATTTTTCTGCAACTTGGTTGACTCACTTGATAATATATAAGGAACATCCATTCAGGTAAATAATATATACATGATTTATTCTTTTGAAAAGCTGCATAGTAATCTATTGAATGGATATGCTGTAATTTATCCAACTTTTCATCCATTTATTGCACAGAGAGAAAAGTAGGTAATATAAAAAAGAATAAGAAATAGATAGGCATCAGTTTTCTTGTCAGCAATAACGGACGCTAGAAGACAATGAGTTTAAAGAGGGATGTTTAAAGAGGGATGATAAAATTTTACAATTCCTGAAGAAGATACAGCAGTCATGAACTTTTATGCCCCAAACACAATGGCAGACTGATGACTTTTGCCAGGCCACATAACCCAGACGTGGCCTTACTGGGCTTGCATACTCTCTTTGAATTTCTATACACATCAATACCCAAATAAGCAAAACTTAAATAGCCAGTGATACCAATAGTGAAGGATATGGGCCTTTACATGCTGTTATTAGGAGCGTAAAATGGTACAGACTTTCCGAAAAGCAGTTTGACAGCTGCATTAAGACTTTAAAATATTCATACCTGTCTCCCAACAATTCTACTTATCTGCCTTTAGCTAAAGATTTAATCAGGTGGGGAAGCAAAACTTGTCAATAAGGACGAACAGAGCATTGTATATAATAAGGAAAAACTGAAAATCACATAAATAATTCAACAACACAGAAATTGTTAAATTAATTGTAGACCATTTATGAGGTGGCATATATATCTTTTAAAAATCATATTTTTAAAGACTGTATAGTGCCATGAAGACTGCTCAGGATGTAATAGTAGGGATAAAAACGAAACAAAATAAAAAACATGGGTTTCAAAACACTTCAAGTGCTACATGGTAAAATACTTTGTAGCCTGGAAGTTTGTTACTGTAATATCTACTTCGACTTTCAGTTATAAAACTAAACAAACCATCACAGAGCATTAGGATCAACCGCAAAATTGTAAAAACTAGATATTCAAGGAGAAAGTGTTGTAAAATTCTTTGCGTATGAAGGGACATTGGTGCTTCTGCGGAGAACAAGAATTCTTTCACTGAATGTACAATTTGTTCTGTTAGTCTGTCAGTCAGCTAGAATTGCATAACAATATTCTGGGTGTGGTGGTATACCACTCAGAATATACAGTCACCACCCTGAAGGAATTTAATGTGCAATGTCAGAAATGCAGCTAAGTATGTTACTAAGTGAAACAGGTAAATACAGTCATTACAAAAGTGCATTGAGTGAAATGGAGAATCATGATTGTGTTGGTGGCTTCAACATCAAACGACGCTCCTGATGTGGGACACACACAACTCCTAAAATCTTCTCATGGATGACCCATTATCCTCCCCTATCTTTGCACCCATTCCCACTGAGGGCTTTCCACAATGATATGGCCTAGTACACCACCACCCCCTGTTTCAGCTTCTCTTCCTATTTCTACCCCAAGACAAGGGTTCTGTGCATGATGGAGCCAGTTGTAGACAGGTCGGAGGGTTGGCCTTTACTGGGGTCTGGGATATGTCCATGTGTGTGCACTTGTGCAAACCCAAGGTCTGTTCTGACGCTCTAATGACCTGACAAGAAGGCTAGGAGGTAGCGTAGGGAGGGGAGGCTGAGCTCAAGGGGAGTATTCTGGAGGAGGAGGAAGAGGGAGGAGAGAAGAAGGGATGGGGGTTGAACCTAACTTTTAAATGTCTGAGCCCATGGGAGACAGTGTCTTAGAATCTACAGAGAGGAGCTGCTGCTGTTGCAAAGCCCCCCTTCCATAAATCAGAAAAAAGTCGTTAGGACCCACATCTCAGAGAAGGTTCTGTGCTCTCCAGAAAGGCATCTTATCTCCTAGGAAATCTGGGTGGGATCCCCCCAGGTCTGGGACTCTGTAGACAGGAATTTTCCTCTGCCTAGCTTGCTCCCTGCCCTGCAAGATGCCAGGATTGGGGTGGCAGAACCTGCTTATCTACATTTCTGACTTGCACTGATCAACACCATGAGCACCAGAGTGTTGCCGGGGAGGGGATCCTCATAGCCCAGCCCAGGCTGCAGTAGGTGCGTGTATGTGTATGTGCACGTGCTTGCACTTTCTAAGGACTCAGTTCTGACCCTGCCTGGATACCCTTTGGGTACTAAGTCCTTATTGAAGGGAATGCTAACTTCCTCCTCCTCCTTTTTTTTTTTTTTTTAAATCCCTGAGAATAAAAGGTCAAATCTCCAGTCCAGGCTGCTGAAGCCAGTGGCCACTGCCTGAGGCACTACTGGGCCAGTGTCTCTGCATTTTCAGAGCCCCAGGCCTTCCTCTCCTCAGAACACAAGGTCAGGCTGGGCCAGGGCTCCATAGGATTCTTCTGTGAGGAAGAGAAAGCCTGAGCTTACCTCTTAAATGCCTCCTTCTAAAGTTCTCCTACTGATCCTTATGTCTAGGAAGTGATACCAACCCTAGAGTCTTAGGCTGTCTGTGTAACAGAAATTGACAAGTTGCCAAACCAAAGTCTCAGACAAGGTTTTATTGGGGCTTATGCTCGAGCACAAGGGAGACAGCACAGGAGAAGAGGCTCTCTGGCTAGCTCTCCGAAGGGAGCCATCCTGAGTATTTTATGGGGTGAGGGGAGGGGACTGGTGTCACGATTCTCCGCCTCCAGAGGTATTCTACTTCCTCTTCCTGGTGGTGTGGCTGCACGTGCCCCCTTGGGGTTGTGGTCCCTGCGCCTGCCCAATGGGTCCAACATGGTGGTGTTGCTCGCTACTGCTGGCCAGGAAGGTCGTATAGTGGTCACCTCCAGGCTTTGTGCACACGTGGGAATGGGGGTCCACTGCTTGAGTGGCAGTTTGCTGTTGGAAGGTTGCTTATGTTTGATACTGGTGTTGGGGGAAGAGGGAGAATCTCTGTCTGCCCTTTTCCTTAAGGTTCTTATGGCTCGCCAAATAATTAACAAGACAAGTTAACAGGAGAAAATAATACCAAGTTTAATAACATGTATACATGGGAGAAAGCAGGGACACTGCGTTTCTCAACACGATAGCAGAAATTCTCATCTTAAATACCATGTCCAACCAAAGACAAGGAGGATGTTGGGGGTGGGGGTGTCAGTTACAGGAGATTATCACTAAAGCACTGTAAACAAGAGTAAGGTTTATTATGCAGTTTTAAGGCCTCACCTTCCACATTGATAAGTCTCTAGAAATGAGGTCATCCCCCCTCTTCCCAATACAGAGAGGGAGATACCTTTACAAATGGAGACTTCCCTTGTAAATGATTGTCTGGTAACTCCTCGCAGGGCCATCCAGAGCGTGTGGCCAGAGAGACAGAACTTCCGATAACATGGGCTTGTTGGTGCCTTTTCTATTGTAACCTCTATCCTACATTATCTTTATAGCAGTCATGATAATAACTCCTTCCTGAAACAGACCTTTTGTTTTAAATTCTTTAGGCAGTATGGGAGGGGAAACTCAAATATTCTTCCTGAGTTCTCTGAGTCCTTATTGTCTTCAGCTCGAACTAATCTGCATACCAGAGTGGTGCTTCCTGGAGTAGCTTGCCCTGAGCACCATCACTGGCCTGAAGCAAGGCTGACATGAGGGAAGCCATGTTGTAACTTAGAATAACCTCTGACTAGCTCACCCAAGCTGTATGTGTTTACCTTGCATGTAGCCTAGAAGACAAATAGCTACCCTCTGGGAAATAATCCTGGCTGACACATATACCTCCCAACAGTGATAGATGATAACTTTGTTGAGTTCCTTAGGAACATGGCAACCTCCTCAGAGAAGAACATCTAGGCTGGCATCCATCATCATGACAACTGAAAAACCTGGTGTGGCACCTCCGGTCACCAAGGCCAGACCATCAACATTCCTGAGCCCCTCCTTCATAGCCCACTAGTCCCTATATAACTGCCTCAAGACTATGTGTGTGTTTAAGATGGTCTTTGGGACGTGAGTCCTCTATCTTCCGATTTTGCTGGCTAGTTGAATAAATCCCTTTCTCAACTACCGACACATTTGCAATTGATTTGCTTCAGTGTTGCCAAGAGCAGAACGAGCCCTTGCTCTGTTACATCTTGACTTCAAAAATAGCTGGGCTGGGATTTGCCAGACCGATGGTTAAGGGTGAGGGGCAGAGTCCAGTCCCTATTCTGTCTCAGAAGTGTGACTGGAGGCTCCACAGCTGGTTAGGACCATAATAATCTTTCAACAAATCTAAGAACAGGCCAGTTTTCATACAATTTGCCCAGTGTCTTTGTGTGCAACTTATCCAAAGTCATCAAATTTTAGAAGCAGATTTTACAGTTGGAACTTCAATGTGTTGCCATTTGTAGATAGTCTTTCAAAATCCTCTGTGGTTAAATGTTACAGGACTTTTTTTAAAAAAAGAGGATTTTTTTAATTATATAAGCAATACTATTCTTAGAAAACTTAGTAAGGGAAGTAAAATAGAAAGTCAAGGGAAAACAAACACCTGAAGCTCCATCACCCAAAGAAAATTACTTTTAATGTTTTGGTAAATTTCATTTCAACCCTACTGTTGATTTGCTTTCTAATTTCAATAAGTTCTGCCTTTGTCTTTTTTATGTCCTTCTTTCTACTTTGAATTTATTTGCTGTTCTTTTAGTAGTTTCTTGTATTGAAAATATGCTTTTATAATTTTCAATCTTTCTTAAATGACTTCTAATTACTGCATCTAAAATTATATATCTATGCGTTTTTTCTGAGTATTGTTTTGACCATATCCAACACACTTAAAAAAAATTGGCATGTTCTCATTGTTCATTTCTAAATATTTATAATTTATGTTTTAATTTCCTCTTTGAAATGTTGAGACACAATAACCGATAACCACTCTATAGATAAGAGAAATAGGGTGAGTTTACTTGAGCCAGAGTGAGGATTATAACCCAGGAAGGCCTTAGAAAGCATTCTGGAGAAGCCTGGTTTTCAGTACAGTCTTATCTTTTTAGAACAAAGAATGTACATTAAACACACCCAGGATACGTTTTCATCAAAATTTCAAAGATGTATTCAGTTGCAAATTAGCAGGTCAACGTGACCCTGATGTCAGGAAAGGGACTAATCTGGGCATTACCAATAGGGCGTAGGAGGGGAAGCATGCATTCTTATATTAAGAGAGTACATTCTTTAATGGTTAAAGCAGATGTACAATGTATGTTTGATAAGCCATAAGTCAGGCTTTTTAGTTCAAGCCAAATCAGTTTTGACCCCGAATAGTTATCCCATATACCTCAAGATGTGAAAATCTCTTGAAGAATTTTTAATAAGGGCAGTTTGACAAAAATTGTGTGATTTAATTATGTATAGTTTTGTTGTCTAATACAGTAGCCACTAGCCACATGTAGCTAATGAGCACTTGAAATATGGTTAGTCCAAACTGAGATAGACTTTAAGTGTAAAATATACACTAGTTTTGAAGACTTACGATGAAAAATTAATTATTTTTACATTGATTTCATATTCAAATGGTAACATTTTGGATAAATTTGGTTATATAAAATATATTATTAAAAGTAATTTCACCTATTTCTTTTGTTTTTTTAATGTAGCTACCTGAAAAATTCAAATTACATATAAGGCTTGCATTTGTGGCCTACATTATATTTCTATTCAATTGCATTCATCTGTAGCCTTATTTTTTTTTTTAATTTGAACTGTTAATTTCAGAGACAGGTGAGTTAAATTCATCTACTAAGATTGAGATTTGACAATTTTTAAGTTACATCATCAGGTGCCAAAAGATTCAAAACATACTATCTTGGTGGAGTGTACCATTTATCAATATAAAAAACTGTATCCTTATTTGCCTTTTTTGGCCCTTTTTGCTTTGAATTCTGTCATTTTCTGATTCTAAAATCTCCACATTTGCTTTCTTTTGGTTAGCATTTTACATGGTATCTTTCTCTATTCCTTTATTTCCAAATGCCCTGCATCACTTTGTTTTACGTGTATCTTTTGTAAACTGTATACAACTATTTTTTAAAATACAATTTGAAAGACTTATTTTTAATATATTAATTCAGTTCATTCACTTTTATTATGATTACTAATATATTACAACTAGTTCCTGAAAATTCTTTTGTGTTTCTAACTATGGAGGCATTGTTATCTCTTCCCCGACTTCTGATGTATTGGCTCAGTGGCCTTCTGCTCTCATCCTTACATTGGGGGTTGACGCCTTTGCTCATGGCTGCCTGGCAGAAGGGTAGAGACTGGGGAAGAGACATCCTTTCAGTGCATCATTGGCAAAGTGTCACCCCGCTCACTGTCCCCTCCTGCTGCCTCCTTGTGTCTGCTGCCTCCTGGCTCAGAGCACCATATCCATTCCCACCTTTTGACAGTCCTCTCTTCCAAGATTTCAGGTTTTGGTTTCATCTTTCAAGATGACTTCATTCCTCATACATTCTAGTCCATTAAGAACACCACTTCATATTTCCAGGCACTGCTATTGACTTTTTTTCTTTTCCTTTTTTTTCTTCTCCTAACCTTTTTCACAATATCTAATGATATAGTGTGGAGAGAAAGGCAGAAGTATGGCTTAAAGTATTATCTTTATTTCATTATGGTATATCTACTTTCTGCCTTTTTTCTCTATGTATTTTTATTTATTTAAATTAATTAATTCATTTTCTTGTGTGTGAGGAAGATCAGCTCTGTGTTAACATCTGCCAATCCTCTTCTGTGTTTTGCTGAGGAAGACGGGCCCTGGGATAACATCCGTGCCCACTTTATGTGGGATGCTGCCACAGTATGGCTTGCCAAGCGGTGCGGTAGTGCACGCCCAGGATCCGAACAAGCAAACCCCGGGCCACTGCAGTGGAGCACACGCACTTAACCGCTTGTGCCACTGGGCCAGCCCCTGTATTTTTTATTTTAATATAATTTTTTTTTGAGGAAGATTGGCCCTGAGCTAACATCTGTTGCCAATCTCCCCCCTCCCCTTTTTTTCCCTTTTTTTCTCCCCTAAGCCCCAGAACATAGTTGTATATCTTAGTTGTACGTCCTTCTAGTTCTTCTGTATGGGATGCCACCTCAGCATGGCTTGATAAGCAGTGCATATGTCCGTGCCCAGTATCTGAACTGGCGATCCCCAGGCTGCCAAAGCAGACCGTGTGAACTTAACGGCTATGCCACCAGGCTGGCCCCTATTTTAATAGAATTTTGGTCCAAATTTGGTCCAATAGTTGCCTACACAATTTTGTGCCTTGATTTTCCACTTAGCATTTTCACTTAAGCATTTCCCCCACACTGTTATAAACTACTTTAAAACTTCATTTTCAATGTCTATGTAATATCACATTAAGGAAAAATGTCTATTTCCCTGTTATTAGGAACTTAGGTTATTTCCATTTTTATCTATTATAAAAAGATGATAAAGTTACTTGTACACATAGCTATGTTTTATATTTTGAATTGGAGTCTTGGGAGGGGTGCTGATGTTCTTACAGATTGCTAGCAAAGAGCCTGTCATTCCAGATTTACTCTAATTTTAGTAAAACAATATATGTGCTTAGAACATACACGTTTCTTTGTGCTACTGTAGTTCTTTTAGATCATATGTCATTGGAAACCAGGAGACTAGGACAACTCTTCAATGGGCATAGATCTGGATTTAGGATATAGTATTCTAGCTATGCGGATGCCCATGGATGCCAGTAGAATGCTCTTTGTTGCCATCACTCTCAGAAGGATGAGTTATAGCAAAATCGACCACATTTTCTGGACCACAATGGAAACACATTCATATATTGTCCAGATCTGACAAGTGTTCTATGTCTGTACTGTTCAATACGATAGTCGTTAACCACATGTGGCTACTGAGCACTTGAAATGTAGCTGGTCTGAATTGAGAACTACTGTAAGTATAAAATACACATTGAATTTCAAAGATGTGGTATGAAAAAAAGTAAAATATATCATTAATAACTTTTTACACTGATTACATGTTGAAATGATAATATATGGCTCACATTATATTTCTATTGGACAGCACTGTTCTATTTCATGCCATCTTAGAAGATCAGGGATGTATGAGACCATGGATATAGCTGTTTCTTACCTCTTCTTGCTATAACACTTTATTATTAATTTCCTGAGACTCGCAGTCCACGCTGCAAAGGCACAATCTATTTCACCTGCCAGCAGCAGCTCCTTTGCTATCCTTTAATTTGAGCGTTTGAGAATTTGAGAATCTAAGGGTCGTGATTTCCCTCCTACTCTCTACTTCCTAGTGCTCCTGCTTGCTGAAGGTCAGTGCAGGAGATTAGCGGGTACCGTTAGGTGCTGAAGAACATTCTTAAGTCTTTCTCCAGGGAGGTAAACAAGTTTGAAATAACTTTGAAATGGAGAGCTTTAGATTAAAAGTGCACAGTTGCATAAAGTTCTTACAGAGGAACATATAGATTTGTCCAGTTATTCGTTCATTCAACAAATATTTATTGAGTGCTTACCATGTGTCGGTCACTGTTGTAGGCACTTGAGATACATCCGTGAACAAAACAGAGATCAGTGTTCTCCTGGAGCTTATGTTCTAGCAGGGGGTATGGACAAGAAACAAGAGACACTATAAATAGGTAAATTACAGAGTATGTTGGAAGGTGATAAGTATGGTGGGAAAGAAAAAGGAAAGCAGTTTAAGAGGGATCCAGCGTGCTGGAGGGAGAGGGAGAGGAGAGTGGCCGGGTTGGGCTTCATTGAGAAGTGACATTTAAGCAAAGACTTGAAGAAGGGGAAGGCGATGGATGTGCTGATATCTGAGGGAAAAGCATTTCAGCAGAGGGAACAGCCAGCACAGAAGCCTTAAGACACAGTGTGCTCGGCATGTTTGAGGAGCATAAGGAGGCCAGTGTGGCTGGGAGGAGAGTAGTAGTGAGGTCAGAGATGTAAGGGGGCAGCACCGACCATTTAGAGCCTCATAGGACGTGGTAAGGATTTGGGCTTTGCTATGGTCTGAATGTTTGTGTCCTCCCAATTTATACGTTGAAATCCCCAAGTTGATTATATTAGGAGGTGGGGCCTTTGGGGGATGCTTGGTGGAGCATGATGGTGGAGCCTTCATGAATGGGATTAGTGCCCTTATGAAAGAGACCCCAGAGACATCCCTTACCCTTTCCACCATCTGAGGATATAGCATGAAGGAGCTGTCTCTGAACCAGAAAGTGGACCCTCAACAGACACCAAATTTACCAGTGCCTTGATCTTGGACTTCCCAGTGTTCAGAACTGTGAGAAATAAATTTCTGTTGTCTATAAGCCACTAATCGATGGTATTTTTGTTATAGCAGCCTGATCAGACTAAGATAGGCTTTGATTCTGAAGGCTATGGGGAGCCACCGCAAGTTTTTAAGTAAAGGAGTCACCTGTTCTGGCCCACATGTTTAAAGGATCACTCAGACTCCTGTGCTGAGGTGAGGCTTCAGGCAGGCAAGGATGGAAGCAGGGCAAGAGATGGTTATGCTCCCATTAGAATGTAGCAGTACAGGTGGTGACAATGTTACATTTTGATATATAGTGAGATAGAATCAGCAGGATTTTCTGACAGGTTGGATGTGAGGTGTGAGACAAAGAGAAGAACCAAGGATGACTCTAAAGTCTTAAGCCTGGGCAATTAGAAGGATGGAGTTGCCATCATCTGAGATTGGGAAGCCTCCAGAGAGAGCAGGTTTGGGGGAAATATGAGGAGTTCAGTTTGGATATTATATTAGTTATCTAATGTTACATAACAAAATACCCCAATATTTAGAGGCTTAAGACAACCATTATCTCTCAGTTTATGTGGGTCAGGCATTCAGGAGTGGCTTAGCTGGGTGGTTCTGGCTCAGGATTTCTCATAAGGTTCCAGTCAGAATGTCAACAGGGACCTTAGGCCTCTGAGGACTCAACTGAGGCTGGAAGATCCACTTCCAGATGGCTCACTCACGTGGCTGTTGGTGGGCGGCCTCAGTTCCTCGCTACATGGGTCTCTGCATAGGCTGCCTGAGTGTCCTCATAACTTGCTACCTTGCTTTCCCCAGAGCAAGGGATCCAAGAAAGAGAGAGAGAGTAACCCAGATGGAAGCCACAGTGCCTTTTTATAACCTAGTCTGCAGAACTGCACACCATCACTTTCCCTTTATTCTACTAATTAGACAGGAGTCGCTAAGACCAGACTACACTGAAGGGCAGAGGAGTCAGGCTCCACTTCTTGAAGGAAAGAGTATCAGAGTTTGTGGACATGTTTTAAAATGATCACAGGTATATTAAGTTTGAGATATCTACTAGAGATCTCAGTGGAGATGTCAAGTAGGCATTTAAATATGCTACCCTGGGGTTCAAGAGAGGGGTCTGAGCTGGAGACACAAATGTGCAAGTCCTGGGCATACAGATGGCATACATATTGGGATCACCAGGGGAATGTATATAGGTAGAGAAGAGAATCCAGAGAACTTGTGGATTCGATTCCCTGGAAAGCTTATGAATCCTTTACGGTCATGGAAGGTAAGTTCCTACGTGGTCACCATATCACAGTGAAGAGGTTCAGAAACAGGCTTTATTGGGGGAAGCTTTCAAAATTGAGTCAGTAAGAAAAGTGGCACACCATCTTCTCAGCATCTCATGGAGAAGTGAGCCTGAGCGATCTACTGTTGTTAAGTAGGTTTGGTTTCCAGTGGAGGGTCTTCTCCCCGTCTTGCTCTGCTTCTCATAGTGCAGCTTGAGGAAGTTGCCTGTCAGCCAGTCAGACTACTGGGGCCTAGGCAGACAGAGCTTAGGTACCAGGTGTTTACAGGCACTGCCTGGGGAAGCCAGTTCCCCTGCTCCTGGGGCCCTTGGGGCCCATGGGAGGTTGCAGAAAGCCATTGGCCCTGCAGGAAGCTGAGCTTGGGTGCAGCCCCTCTGTGGTATAATAAAAAAGATTCATTTGATCTTTGTCCCTGGTTCGTGGCACAGAGTTCCTAAAACCCTTGTAATTTCCCTGAGTGATAGCAGCATCTTTTGTTATTCATAATGAACTCCTTTCAACCATTCCTGAGTTTATGGTAATGAGGTGACTGTTAGTGGGCTCTTAGAAAGCTTCAGGACAGAGGCTGGTTGACAGAGGAACTAACCATGTGATTAGAAGGTTGAAAATTTCAGCCCACCTTCTGACCTTTGGGGAGAGTGAGAGGGGCTGGAGATTGAGTTTAATTACCAAGGGCCAATGATGTAGTCTGTCATGCCTGCATAACGAAACTGCATAAAAACTCTTAAACAATGGTTTTCAGGGAGCTTCCTGTTGGTGAACACATGGATGGGCTGGGAGGGTGGCACACCTAGAAAGGGCAAGGAAGCTCTGCACCCCCACCTCCACCCTATACTTAGCCCTCTGTATCTCTTCCATTTGGCTCTTCCTGAGTTGCATCCTTTATAATAAATCTATAATAGTAAGTATAGTACTTTTCTGAGTTCTGTGAGTCATTCTAGCAAATTATGGAACCTTAGGGGCAGGTCGTGGGAACCCCTAAATTTGTAATTGGCATAGCAGAAGTGTGGGTAGCCTGGGCACCCCACTTGCAGCTGTTATGCGAAGTGGGAGTAATCTCGTGGGGCTGAGGCCTTAACCTGTGGGGTCTGTCCTAACTCCAGATAGTTAGTGTCAAAACTGGATTGAATTGTAGGGTGCCCAGTTGGTGTCAGAGAGCTGGAGGGTTGGTGTGGAAAAATGACAAGTATTTGGTGTTGGAAAAAAACACATTTGGTGTCAGAAGTGATGCCAGAAAACACCACACACCTCCCACTTGGAGGAGAGGGAGTCCCTGGTCCCAGCTGGCTCTTTATCCCGGCAACCAAGAGTGAAGCCCAGGATAATTTTCAGACAATACACTGGTAACACCACAAGTATAACTGCCTACTTGGGCAGGGTTCTCAAGCGTGTTTAAACCCACTGATACAGACCACTCAGAAAGTGGAAGGAAATTAAACTACATAAAAGATGGACAAGAGAAGAAGAATGATTAGCTACTTCTGTTCATTAGAACCTAGAATAAAGTTTGATTGTGATAATTTGTCACTTATCACACAGAAGATTTGTGCCTCTCTGAGAAGGATCATGTCTGAGTCTGTTTGGACTGCTATAACAAAATACTGGGTGGCTTATAAACAACAAGAATTTATTTCTCATAGTTCTGGGGCTAGAAGTCCAAGATCAGGCTGCCAGTATGGTTGGGTTCTGGTGAGGGCTCACTTCTGAGTTGCAGACTTGTATCCTCACACGGCAGACAGCAGAGAGGGGAGGCAAGCTCTCTTGTGACTTTTATAAGGGCACTGATTCCATTCATGAGGGGATCTAATCTGATGATTATGACTTCATCTAATCCTAATTACCTCCAAAAGCCCTACCTGCCGATACCAACACATTGGGGGTAGAGTTTCAACATGAATTTTAGGGGGTCACTAACATTCAGTCCATAGCACCCATCCCTCTGTTCTAGCTGGTGAACATTCCTCACCTCATCCTTCCATGGGTGAACAGTCTCTGGCGTGTCCACAGGCCTCTCCACCAAAACATATCCTCCTCTTGTCTCAAGACCATGCCACCTCCTGCACAGGGCTTTCCAGCCCGTCCATCATTGGGGGATCGACTTCAGTCCTTACATTAGACATTTGGACTCCTGACTACGTATGGTCACGTTGTCATTAATCACTTCCAGTGGGATCATTTTCCAAAATGAGACCATACATGTCACAGGGCAGAGAGGAGCCTTATATATCCTCTGTCCCCAGGCATTACCTGTTCAATTGCACAGACTGAAGGCTGCACACAAGCCTGGCTTAGGCAAGAGTAAAAGATAGAAAAGAGTACATGCTCCTTCAAACAAACAAATGGTTTAAATAGATTTTAGAAATATCAATCAACCTGTTAATAAATTTTTATAATTGTTTTATTTCATAGATTTTTACCCACAAGTGCTCTACAGGTTAAAAGCAAGTGACTTCTCAGGGTAACAAGTAGAGAAAGATCATTTGCAGGGCTTCAGAAAGGTCGACCCAAGGATTCCATGTCAGGAGTGAGAGGAAGGCTGAGATGAAGAGGACAGATGCTGGACTCTGATTAGTCTCTGTTCAGGCCAGTGCTCCTCCCCTTATGAATCGTGAGACCTTGAGCCTCAGCATCCTCATCTTTAAAATGAGCATGATAATGATAGTATCTACCTCACAGGGTTAAGGAGAAGATAACAGAAGAAAATGCATGTGGAGTGCTTAGCATGGCTCCTACTCCAGAAATGCTCAATAGAAGGGAACTATTAGTATCATTATTACTATTCTTCAGTCTTCTGAAAGAGGCAGGGGATGCTGGAACAGAAGGAGGTAGAGCCAGGCTGTGTTAGGAGGGAGAGTTGTTTTGAGATGATGCTGATGGGAAACGCAACAAATTGCCAGTGGGATCTTTGAGCAGGAGGACCTAAGATGAACCAACAGCATGGCCTGGGGTCAGGAGGAGGAGAGGGCTGAGGGCTGCCCAGAGCACCTCGGTGAAAGTCTTCAAAGCCAGAGGGGAGTGGCTGGGCTTTGTCTATGGTTGGATGAGAACTATCCAAGAGGAGGGGATAACACGGTCAGTCAGACCCATAGAGAAGACACGTCTGGGGTCTGGGGTGAGGAAGGAGCTGGGGGAAGAGGAGGTTGCTATAAACTAAGCAGAAAATGAAGACTGGGGCTAAGGTGGTGGCTGTGAAATATCCAGGGAAGGACAGAAACTACAGATATTAGGTAGAAACAAGTGGCATGATCAGGCAATGGATGAAGGAGGGAAGGAGTGAATGAGTCTAAGAAGACAGTGAGTTCTGCTCCTTGCATGGGATTTTGTGGTCCCCCGGGCAAGAACCACTTAGGTGTGTGCCGTGTGCCTGGCCATGTTTACTCTGATGATGGAGTGGCCATTGTGACGGGGTGGCTGGTCTGCGGAATGGGTTGAGAAAAGCTCTGTATATTCCCCATGAGGTTGAAGTGATGTTAGGACACCCACCAGAGATGTCATAGAGACACCACCGTGAAGGAACCGTGGAGATGCACCTTTCACTTCTTCTCGGGGTTGGGTCCAGCAGGAGGGAGGCTTGACAATTGGCCACCATGCTTGGGGGCTGTGTCTTGGACTTGTGCGGTTCTTCTTCGCTCCTTGGCCCCTCTCTCACTGAGAATGCACAGCAGTAGGGCAGACAAGAGCTGTGCACTGGACAATACAGTGGCTGTGATCACTGGCTCCACAGACAGGTGAGTAAATGGGAGTCGCGGATGGTGTGGGCCCTTGCAAGGGGTGTAGTGTCCCCATCGCAAGTGGGATCTGCTGTCAATTCCCTTCTCTCACATCCCTGCCCATTACCCAGCTCTGGAAATTGTCATCTTTCTAAGGGCAAGCTTCTGTCATTAAACTCACCTGTTTCCCGAGAAGCACAGTGGGAAGGTGGAAAGAGCAAGTGCTTTGGATTCAGACCTGGATTTGAATCCAGGCTCCAAGGTTAATACCTGAGCAGTTTGTGACTTTACTTAACCACCTCTGTAAAACATAACTGGATAACAGTGCCTTGATGACAGAGTGGATGATAGGATAATGCAAATGCCTGCTACATAGGAGGTGCTCAGTAAAAGTTAGTTCCTCATTTCTGGTCAGAAGATTTGGGGGCTGGGACACTGTGGTATTTTATGTCTTAAGATCAGGCTCCCAGGAGGAGGGTGGGGAGGGGCTGAAGCCATCTCAGCCATCTCTGCCTGCAGGATTGGCTCTGCCATCGCCCGGCGTCTGGCCCAGGACGGGGCCCACATGGTGGTCAGCAGCCAGAAGCCGCAGAATGTGGACCGGGCAGTGGCAGTGCTGCAGGGGGAGGGGCTGAGTGTGACAGGCACCGTGTGCCATGTGGGGAAGGCCAAGGACCGGGAGGCGCTGGTGGCCACGGTGAGGGGGCGGAGGTGAGAACATACACCCAGTCCAGGGCAGGAAGGGCTCTAAGTCAAGATGCTCCTTCCCTTAACATATTCTTGGATATTCACTGTGTGTCAGACACACACTAACACCCCATCACATTAGTATGTGAGGTGCTAGATGTTGTTATAACAGCTTTACTGTGGGAAACAGACCTAGCAAGGTTAAGTGGCAGGGATGATTTTGAACTGAGGTCTGCCTGACTCCAAAACCCACATTCCTTTTTTTTTTTTTTTTTTTGCTGAGGAAGATTGCCCTGAGCTAACATCTGTGCCAATCTTCCTCTATTTTGTATGTGGGTTGTCACCACAGCATGGCTGCCGACGGGTGGTGTAGGTCCACACCCAGGAACAAACCCATGAACTCGGGTCACCGAAGTGGAACATGCCAAACTTAACCACTAGGCCACAGGGCTGACCCCCAAAACCCACATTGTTAACCTTAATTCTGTGCCTGGCAGGACCTTGCAGGGAACACAGGGAACAAATGGCTGAAGCCCTGTGAAGCTGGGACGATGCCCACCGCAGGGGCAGCTCTGTGGACTGGAGCAGGGGAGATGCCAGGCTGGAGAGCCCATCACAGTCACCATGGGAGTGGGCCCTGTTCAGGGGGCTCGCCGGGAAAAGGTCATTTTTGAAAGAGAGTCTTGAAGGGGAGTGGGAATGGACCAGATATGTTTTCCAGAGAAGAGACTCCAGGTATACGAGACTTCAAGAGTGAAGATTCCCAGAAATGAGGGAGTGCTAAGGAATTACAAAGAGGGGAAGGAGAGAGCCCAGCAGGGCTCAGATGAAGCGCAGGTGACTTAGGCACTGTCCAGTGTTCTCCCAGAGTGAGTCTGAGGGTGAAAAATCCAGGAGAAGGCCCCACTGAGGCCGGCTGGAAATGTGGCTCAGGCTTCTAGGACCCACCGCAGGGCTTTCTGATTGGCCAGGCCCTCCCAGATGACTGTGGAGGCAGGGAGGAGGCTTCTGGTCCACAATTTCATCTCTTCCTCACCCTCTGTGCTGCCTCCGTTTCCCCCCAGGCCCTAGAACTGTAGGGGCATCAACTTCCTGGTGGGGAGCACCCTGGGGACCGGTGAGCAGGTGTGGGACAAGGTGAGGCCGGGGGAGCACGGAGCTGCGAGATTCTCTAGGTCTCCCATCGCTACTCACACACCTTTGTGTGTTCCCAGATGCCACCCGTTTACCTTCCAGCCACAGCCCCGGTTCCATTGGGTAGAGCACACCTGAGTCGTCTGCCAGGTGGCCAATGATACTGCAGACCTTCTCTACTTCAGCCCTCCTCCGAGGCCCAGATGTGAGGGGACATGCCCAGCTCTGGGCCAGATCCTGTCTCCTGGCTCAGAAACCTGAGGCTGTCACCCTCTGGACTCACTGGCACCCACTCTGATCCCTTCAGTCTGGCTGTCCCAGAGCCCCCCCTTGGGACACTTCACTTGTCCACAGACACAGCTGAGAGAAGGGACCACCATCCCTGCCAGACTCCACCGAGCATCACAGGGGCTCCTGCTGCCCTGCCCCTGCCCCTGCTGTCCTGAGGGGCCCCTGAGAGGGGCTGGCACAGTCCTGACCCTCCCCCTCCATGTGTCTGCAGAGAGGGGTCCTGTGAGCAGGGTTAGCCATTCCTTCCTCGTGGAGTGTTCCTCTGCTGACCCCTCTCTTCTCTCCTTCCAGACCCTGCCCCACTTTCTCTCTTGGTTCTCACGTTCCTGGTCTTCTTGGCCCTGCTCTGCCCCGTCCCTCCCCAGCCCAGCCTCCAGCTTTTACGGGAAACTCAAATTTCAGCACCTGCCCCTGAGCAGGGCCCCACACAGAGCTGGTGTTTGCAGCCTGCCGGCTGGCGTGTGACTTCTCCCCTCTGCTCATTAAAGCAAACACTGATACACCAGCTTTCCTGACGTCCTTCCCCGTACTGTTTTCACTGGTCTGCTTCTCTGGAGGGGGATGTGCCTGCAGAGTCTGCGTAGCGAGTGACAGTGAAGAGGTTCTTAAGCCGAGTTTTCCTGGTGGGCAGGCAGACCCCTCAGACTCCTCCTTCTCCTCAACTCTGGGACCACAAGGAGAAGAGCAGCGCTGACCCCCAGCTCCTCCCCGCGGGACCCCAGACAATCAGAGGGGCCCAACCTTACAGCTCCCCTTTAGCCCCCTGCTTGGATTTCAGGTCTGGGATGTGAATGTGAAGGCCCTGTCCCTGCTGCTGAGCCAGCTGTTGCCCCACATGGAGAAGA